CCATCCATTCACTTATATATTCATTCATGCAATCAATCATTGTTCATATCTTCATTTCATTTCATTCAAACATGCATTCATTCACTTTCTGAATCATTCATTCTCCTTTTCATCTCTCCATTAGCTATTGGGATGTCCAAAAAGTTTTGAGACAACACTGACACATTTTCAGAAATTTATACTTGAAAGGCCTGTTGGCGAGTATTAATAATATAGCATAGATAAATGTCAGGTAACTTTCAGAGGAAAGGTTTCTTATTTCAATGTCATTTGAATCAACTGTGGCCTTCCACTGTGTCAATACTTTTTTTTGAAGCCCATTTCAGAAATTCAGTGACTATCGCTCTAGCTATGCACATTCTTTGGGAGAAGAGTAAGTAGAAATTGGTACTCTGAGCTCTGAAAACGGCCCGCAGTCTTCAAAAAGAAGGGCTGTTAGAATTTCTAGTTGATCAAATAGTGCATAGCTTTTTGCTAACTGGAAAAGTCCAGATTTTGCTGGGTAAGTGGCAGATGCTTTGTTGATAAGTAAGTGAAATTCTCTAAAAAGAGTTATTTGAAAATGACCATCTCGATTCATTTTAGATACCAAGCTTTTGAAAGAATGGATTCCCTGGATGGTGAGCAAATAACACACGATTTTTCCAAGAAAAAAACGTTTGTTTCTATGCAGATCCCACCGTATCTACTATTCTTTCATTATCAAAAAATTTTTCCGTTTGCTTATGCACACAAAGAGAATACTCCTTGATCTGCTATGCAAGTCGTGATTCTCATTAACATAAGTTGAATCCAAATGCTACTCAAAGATTATTGAAAAGAAGGATTCCCTTCATACATTTTAGGTGTACACGAAGAGCAAACCGATAAGTTTTAACTAAGCTTCAGTACAATTTAGTTTTAATTGTCATGTTATTTTAAAAAAAAGACTTGGTACAGTGTTCCAAGGTAAGCGTAGGTTTTTGGGATTGAGGATGAGTAAAACAAGGAAAAGAGTGAGACTTTGCCTAGAACTCATGCAAACAGTATAAAAAACATAAGAGGAATACATGCTAGACTACCAAAATATACTGGTATGTAAGGTTTTATTTAGCACAGTTAGAAGGAAAAAAATTGCGAAAACAGTTTTTGAAGAAGATAGCATTTTTAAACGTTATAGAAAAAAGATCTTCTAATTTGTTAGATTTACTAGATATTTGTTTAGACTCAAGTTACAGTACCTCTTATCTATCCACGTTAGCCTATGGGTTTCCTTCATAACATAATGGCCTGCGCTATACGTCTCAATAAATTATTCAGATTATAGCACAGAATATCTGAAGATCTTAGAGTGTACGTGAACAAAAGCAGCTTCTAGAATGCTGAGCCCCATAAAGAAAAAGGGAACAATCTTTACCTATATGTAGTTTCAAAAAATCAACAAAAGTTTACAGATTCGTTTAGTGAATCATTAACTTCAAATGTTCTTATGAGCAGTGCAACAGAACCATTTCACCTGGAAAGTACGTTTGTTAGTTTAACTGGTTAGCACTTTAGTCGTCTAGGCAATTCGCACTCAAAAATGCTTAGGGACATTTAAGAAAACTCGGTTATGTAGTGCAAATGGGTTATTATGGTTCCAGAGGCTCGAGACTCAACTAAATCGTGACTTTTTGTTCTAAAATTAGCAGCAATAATTTCTCATCTGTGGAAAAATGGTTAATTATAGGTCCGAAAAGTCAAAATAGAAAGTTTCAGTAAAAGGAGGTGGACACATTAACATACATACTGCAGCGAAGTTGATCAAGCCTGCATCATCGCGCATGGCAACCTTCATCCTTTATATAGCACAATTATAAAGTTTCATGTTTGGTCCAAGCATTTACAGTACGCTTGAGAAATGAGGATTTTGCAAACTTTTAAGGACTACATAGAGGCCATGGTTAACCGAACCGCAATACCTGCTAAGTTGAGGGTCGCCCCGCTAGGGTTCATCTCCTGCCTTTGCGCTTAAAAAATGACAATTCAAAAATTATTTCAAGAACAACGAGTTCAAAGAGTTGAACACGCATACTTCTAAGTTTTTGCAATACTGTATTACGATAAGTGTACCCTAATTTAAGAAGAAGTCATGCTAAACAACATTACATTACTTCATGTCCTTTAATTAGATGTTCTTGCAACAGCGGTATAATCAAGATAAATAACTCTCCTATGACAGAGCGAATTTCGATAATTATATTTCTCCTACCTATGCATATTGGTATCTTTTACCTTCACTCTCCATAGGCAGTTGGTTGTGAGAACTTCTGTGAACGGTTAAGTCCCCAGCAATTGCTATTTCTATGAATTTTGCTACAAAGGTTGCATACTAAACACACCTGAAAAATTGTGAGTTAAATGTATGATACAGTAACAAGAAGCCTTAAAACTTGGACTTCAAACATTGTAATTTGAAGGAAGGAGTTCAACATGAGACCATTTCAAAGAAGGAGGATGTTACTAAACGCAAATTGGAAGCT